TGGGGGGGGGGGGGGGGGAAGGTGAGGGGCAGCACACCCGGGATTTCTGGCGTCGCCCCTCTCGGCTGCCCCCTTGCTCTTCCTAACCCTCCGGGAAACGGACCCACTCGCCCTCCTCCGCCTCCTCAGTGCGCCCCGGCGCATCACAAGCTACTGCGGGAGACGCACCAGCCCCGTGGAAACGCACCAAACTTCGCTTTAGCTGCCGCGGGCTCCCCCTGCGCCCCGCGCAGCTGCCGAGCGAGCCTGGCTTTCGGAGCGCCCGCTCGAGTTCTCCGTGTAAACGCGTCTCCCGGCGGCGCGGCGCGCTGGAGAGGAGTCCGCGCCCGGCAGGAGAAAGCGCCCGGCTCTCGGCTTGCCCGGCCAAACACTTACCGCACTCCAAAGCGGGCAGCCCTTCCTGGCACCGGCAGCTCCTAGGAAACCAGCGCAACGTGCATTAAAGTCCCTCCAGGGGCGGGATGCCAGGCAGCGAGGACGCTAAAGGCCACCCGTGGCGCGGGGCGAGCTAAAGGGGGATCCTGGCGGATCGGAGCCCTTCTCTGAAACCAGCGATCTGGTGCATTCACTGTTTATTCATCCCCCAGCCCAACGCCCAGATCTGTCACGGTGGCCTGAGAGCGCACAGCCTCTAGCATTTAAAGAGACAGCTCCGCGCTCTGTCTCCTCCCCGGAGCGCAGCTCGCGCGCCCGAGCTATTTAGGGGGGTCCGAAGAGTAACTGGAAGGAGGGGCAGAGACCTCGGGCATGCAAGGCCCGGGAAGCTAGAACAATAACCAGCGCTCCCCTTCTGGGAGCTGTCAGTCAAGCCACCGGGCTGCACGTTGCCAGGCCTGAGGGGTTTGGTTTGCTTAAGAAGGGGCCAGTACCCCGGTCTCCCCGCTGCCGGAAGCTGATGCTGCTTTGCTGTTGTGTGTATTTTATAGACAGTTGCTTATTTTCACTCCTAAAATAAAATAAAATAAAATAAAATAAAATAATGTGGTTTAAAAGTGGCCCCGTGCTGGTTCTGCAGCAAGTGTGCACACACAAGGTGTGAGGAAGTCACCTGGGCCTGTCCTCCACTTACAACCAGGGTCCGCACCCTGCCTCTTTCACAGCCACCCTCCTCCATGGACCCAGCCAAGCCCCCAGTCACCCCGTTCCTTTCTGCAGGGCTACCTGAGGCATGAGGAGGGTCGTGAAGTGACTAAGCGGTCCAGAGGCAGGCCCAAGAGACTGATTTCCATCTCAGCCACGCTGCTGTAAAGTAGGCTCAGTCCACGGAAGTCTGTGGAGTTTGTGCAGTATTTCATGGGGGTAACAGAGAACACAAGGTGCCCCCTAGCAAACATAATATTCCTTCCCTGTTGTCTGTCTAGCCATCCATCCCCATGCACACCCACCCAGCCATCCATCCTTATACACTCTATCTATCCATCTATCTATCCCTGCACGATCGATCTATCTATCTATCTATCTATCTATCTATCTATCTATCTATCTATCTATCTATCCCTATACACCACTCTATCTATCTATCTATCTGTCTGTCTGTCTGTCTGTCTATCTATCTATCCCTGATGTACTTTTAACAAGAGGGAACAATTTTCTCTCCACCCACTTCCTTCCATTCAAGTGCTTCATCAAACCAAATTTCAGGCCTCTGCAGTCATTCCTGGTAGGCAAAGGCAGCCCATCTATTTCAAAAGCTGGGCAGTCTCTTGGCTACACAACACACCTCCTTCCTTCAAGTCAGAATCATGTAGAGTAACCGATGTACAGAAAGAAGCAGAAAGCACAGAAATTCCTGTTATCCAGGTGGGCGTTCGAGGGGGCAGCTTTCAAGGATGCCTGGGTCGCTGATGTTCTGCGTACTCTGCTGTGGAAAAGCTGTGGCCAGCTTGGGTTATCTGATTGTGTCTCAAGAGACTCGGGCCACAGGGCTAACAGTGGCAGTGTGGACGTTCAGGCTCCACACTCCGTGAGAAGAGCCCTAATGAGTACACAGCAATTGTTAGGCCCACAACCCAAGTCAAGGAGGGATCTGAGAGTAAAATCCGCTGGTGAGCAAAGGCGTTTGGATTCTTAGGACCAAAGCAGCCCGTGAAGGACTTCAAAAGGATCTCACAAAACTGGGTGATTGGGCAACAAAATGGCAAATGAGTTTTAATGTTGATAAATGCAAAGTAATGCACTTTAGAAAAAATCATCCCAACTCTACATATACAATGATGGGGACTAAATTAGCTGTTACCATTCAAGAGAGAGATCTTGGAGTCATTGTGGATAGTTCTCTGAAAACATCCATGCAGTGTGCAGCGGCAGTGAAAAAAGCAAGCAGAATGTTAGGACTCATTAAAAAAGGGATAGAGAATAAGACAGAAATATCTTGTTATCTTTGTATAAATCCATGGTACTCCCACATATTGAATACTGTGTTCAGATGTGATCACTTCATCTCAAAAAAGGTATATTGGCATTGGAAAATGTTCAGAGAAGGGCAACAAAAATGATTAGGGGTTTGGAACAGGTGCCATATGAAGAGAGATTAAAAAACCTGGGACTTTTCAGTTTAGAAAAGAGGAGACTAAGGCGGGATATGATAGAGATTTATTAAAATCATGACAGGTGTGGAGAAAGTGTATAAGGAAAAGTTATGGGAACAAGGCAATAACATAAGAGCTAGGGGTCACCAAATGAAATGTATAAGTAGCAGGTTTGAAATAAACAAGAGGAAGTTTTTCTTCATGCAGCACACAGTCAACCTGTGGAACTCCTTGCCAGAGGATGTTGTGAAGACCAGGACTTTAACAGGGTTCAAAAAAGAACCAGATAAATTCTTGGTGTCCCTTTCCCCTCTTTGTCAGAGGCTGGAAATGGGTGACAGGGGAGGGATCACATGATGATTCCTTGCTCTGTTCACTCCCTCTGGAGTATCTGGCATTGGCCACTGTCAGAAGACAGGAAACTGGGCTAGATGGATTTTTGGTCTGACCCAGTACGACCGTTCTTATGTTCTTACTACAGCCTCCTACTGGGAGCCTCCTCTTGAGTAGAGGCAGGATGATGAGCGAGTTTTAAAGCCAAAAGCACCCATCCATAAATATGATTATCTTAGTCCCATCCATGGTCAGGCCCACCATGTGAGGCCCAGCACCAACAGAACCAAAAGGTAGCCTCTGCCCCAAATAGTTTACTATCTCGTCTAACCTCTGAGGTTGGTCTAGTGGGTGGAGTAGGAGAGATCTGAATGCAGCTCCTGTCTCACTTCGGCCTCAGTTCTTTGGCTGTAAAATCGAGATGCCTCTGTATCTTGCCCTGTATCTTGCCCGGGTTCCGTAAGGATAAAATGCAGCTAAAATCAGAAAGGGCTCAATTCATTCCATGGTACAGGCCATAAAAGCCCCCAGATGAGTTGATTGTGTGAGCAGAGCTCTCCCCTGTGGAAACGGGAGAGAAGAAACCCTTTTGTTCCCATGCGTCCGAGAATGGGGCCAAATCTAGCATTGTCAGCCAGGGAGAAATATTCAAACGGAAGAGAAGAGCAGCCGCAGGGTGAGGAAGCTTTCACTGGGCGTGAGCCAGGGAGAAGGAAATGGAGACGATATGCACAGCAAAGGGCCCGTTCCACAAACATTCTTCCGGCAGACGTTTGTCTCTTTTTAGAACTGCACTTTAGCCAAACAGACCAGGGCTTTGGGAGTATTTACTGAGCATGTGACTTCCCTTTTAGCTCTGGGGACGTGATACCAAGCTGCTTCCAAATATTTCAATCATGTGAACATGCTTCTAGGAGGGCTATTCTTTATGCCTTCTGCAAACAGAACGTGCGTGATAAATGCCTGTCAGGATACCCGGGAACCTAGGCAGCAAGGGGAATGCTTCTAAAATGGGCACAAATGGTGGCTCTATAGATACCAGTCTAGACAGCTGGCATGAGGCTTGGCACCCAAGAGATGTCAATCACCTCCCTAGGGCCCCCCCATGGACAGGGGTGACAGTACAGCCCGCTGCCTACATTTCCCCTCCACACAGGTGTCTCTGGGTACAAACAGCCCTCCTTCGGGTCTGGGTAAATGGTCAGAACAAAACTCAACGTCCCTAACATCCCTTAGCCAGCTGCTTCCTGCCCTACCTGTTTTCTCTGGTGCCTCAAAATCCCTGCAGCCTTCAGTTCCCGGCAACACGCAGAGACCTTCCAGCTCCCTGCAAATTCCCTGTCCAGGAGGGCCTGTTTAATAATCTGGGTAGGCTGTCCCCGGGTTGCAGCCCTTCAAGGAGCAGGACGCCCTGTTGCAATATGGAACGGCAACTCCTTGCAGTCTCGTTTTGCTTCTGCAGTACATCATGCACGCAGGACATGCTCATGACGTCCTCCCGACCCTTTCCACGACAGCTGCATGGGGTCATGGCTGCAGGCCGGTCTGTTCGAATGGGACCAAGGTAACGTGCCGGGGAGAGGACAGACTGCAGGCTGTGCGTGTGGATCCGTGGTGCACACACGTGTGTCTGTTTGTGACCACGAGGCAGCATCGGGGCGATGTGTATGCGACCTCGCTTTCCAATGCGATCAGACCTCCCACACCATCCCTTTATCAATCTAATGTGTGTACAGGGCAGACTATTCCCCGGGTGCCACCAAAACCGGCCATGAATTTGACCATCCTGTTTACAAGCTAGTCACGCCTGCTTGAGAAGACGGGACTTTCACTGTACGTCTCTGCACAGATGCGCCTCTTCCCCCCCAGGCCCGGCCCTGTCAGCAGGATCTCTGGGAGCCGTTCCAATTCAGATCCTGCTGCTTAAAGCCCCCAAACAGCAGGAGGTTTGGAATGTGTCTGTGGAGAGAAAGGGGCAGCAATCGAAGCTGAGATCAGCAAGCGTGGGATTCGTGCGGCTTGGGGCAATGGGGTACAGACGCAGAGAGAGACAGAGGTAGGGCGTAGGGCCAACCTTTCTCTCTTCTCCATTAACGACAGGTATATATGTATCACTGTTTACAGGGCGTCCCCACTATAAGTCACCCCGGTATACATCCATTCCACACTAAAGTCGTTGACGTTTGTAGGAACTGACACATTATAAGTCCTCCTGTTCCCCGCTATAAGTTGTGCAAAACGCTCCCCCCAATTTGCTTACATGGAAGTCAGCCGTGGGAAAAAACTTCCCCGTTTTAAGTTGTTTTGCTATAGGTCCAAGGTTTTTGGAACATATCTTGGACTTATAGCGAGGTCAGCCTGTATTTGTGTGACGGCACGTTGGGGGTCCCCCGTCTCCTGCACCCCGAAATGGCACAAACAGACCGCACCAGCCGGTGGAATAGAGGAAGTTTATTGCCTCTCCAGGATACAGCACAGCACAGATGTAGTCTGGTCACAGAGCTGGGCTAGGATGCCTCAGGCCCCCTTGAGATGGGGGAGACTGGGCCCCTAAACTCCAACCCCTTTCCCTAGGCTGCCTCCTCCATGCTCTCAGACAGCAACTAACTAACTCTCTTCCAGCCCTGCCGGCAGCCAGGGCAGCATCCACCTTCCTTTGTTCCTCTCCATGGGGGGTGTCTGGCCATACTGGTTTGCATAGTGACTCATCCTGTTTTGCTGGGTCGTGGTCCCCACGGCAGCCAGTGGGGGTTACCCCAGAGCCAGCAGCATAGAAACCAGCCAGGTACC